TTTTCACTCCCTTGTCAGTAAAATTTTATTGGACTGGAAACACTCGCAGCTCTCACCCTGAATTTTCGTGCCTGCATAGAAATATTACGCATCATCAAAAGACAAGCAACATAAGCGACAGATAAAGCACAAGGTAACACATAAAAATATAGGAATAGATATTTGAATGATCAATCATTAATCTCACAAGTCACAACCATACCAGTCAATGTCGTCATCACTATCAGAAGTGTTGCTTTTTTCAGAATCTTCTACACTACTACAATAGTCAACCAATGTGTCATCAGGCTCATCTTCTTCAATGACATCATCTATGTTTACGAGCTCTGCTATATCTGGTAGTGTTTCCATAATTGATTCCTCAATATCTTGAGAATCCACGTCATACCTAGTGATTCTAATTCATCAACACTAACTTCAAGTGCATCATTAGCTTCATTCTCTTGGTACACCCCATCTTCCAGAGAAAACACATCATTAGGGCTTATTTCATCATCTGGCATCTCATCAACATCATAGACATGCCTATGATGGAATGGTTGCACTACTCGCCAGTCACTTCCTAATTTAGGATCACGAATGTAGAAAACTTGTCTTGCTTGATTAGCTAATATGTAAGGGTCGTTCTCATACCATCTTTTGGTAATCCGAACACTCACAATATTGCCCTCTTTTTGTAACCCTTTTTGTTTTTTGCCCCCAAGATCAAACCATTCACATTTGAATATGGTAATATGTCTATCTTTCACATAGTCAAGCTGAAATATATCAGATACAACACCATAAAATTCAAGTGTATCTTCACCGTGGTTACCCTCCACAGAGATACCGCTATTTTGGGTATTACAACGACTATCACGGTGTAATATCCCGATATTTTATCGGTATAAATTACGTTTTAGTTCCGATATAATAATGTTATCGTTTATTAGTTTCGGAATTGAATATGTTCAGTCAAGATTACCGAAATTTATTTTCGACGTACCGTTTACGTCTGAAATATTTTTGGTAATTAAGTATTATGTTTAATTGAATGATTAAACATAAATTGAGTGATTAATAATAATTAATCATCCTATTAGCCTAATGGCCGTGCCCTAAGTTCTATTCAACCATGACTTAGAAAAATTTTCAAAAATTGTACCATATAAGCCGTGAGTTCCTTTAGCCCAAGGGAAATGTTTTTCCTCCAATCAAATTAAATCACTTGTCAAGTAGACAAGTTACTTAGTCATCATCTAATCCCCCCAAATAGAAGCAAGTGGAAATAGCTAGAGATGGCCACGCCACACTAGCGTCACCACCAAATCCTCTCGGCTTAGTATAAGAAGGTGACCTTAGAGTAATTTTTGCCACTTCTCCCTTAAGAACTGATCATAGTCTTCAGCATATACATCAACCTCTTACAGCAGCAACTAAGTGATAGTAAATTTCCCCTAATTTCTCCATCAATTCGCACGGCAAGCTAGGTATCGCACGGCGTACGCAAGGAAGGAGGCCACGCCCTATTTTCTGATTTCGATCGTTCAATCAGAGAGGTAATCCCTTCTTCAACTTATGTTCATGTTGATAAGGTCAATTTAAGGTTAAGTGTTCGATCGATTTTCGAGAAGTTCAAATAAAACCGTGCATATAGCCGAGCATGTTTAAGTAAGATCATCGCCGAGTTATTTCGATCTCTTCCGGCAACTCTCGAACCATTAACGTTTAAATAGTCAGTTTAGTTCATTTCATGACTAATGAGTTCAGACTTGTCGAGGTAAAATGAAGTTTTGCTGAAGAAATGGCCCCTGGCCATCGCCAGCGCCTACCGCGCATGGCCACGGGCGACCGCGGACCATGGCTTAATAAGTTCAGTATAAATCATGTTAAGCCGAGTGTTTCTGTAGTAAACTGCTTCATATTGATGTTCATTTTGAGTTGTTCTGAAGTTGCCAGAGAAAAAGGTATTTCGGCCGAGAGACGGCGCATAGCCGTCGGCGGCGCACGGAGCGCCCACCGCGGCCCTTTTTATGTTCATGGTGCGTCTGTTGTATTTTCAGGTCATGTTTGTTAAGTAGGTGCATGTTAAGTCATGTATTGTCTAGTTATGTTCAGTTTAGTCAAAGTATTGGCCGTAGGCCGCACCCTCGCACGTAGCGAGCGCACGCGGATGTGTGCGATGGCCCGTTAAGCAAGTTTCGTAAATTTCAGGTAAAGTAAGTAAATTGTTCATGTTAAATCATGTAAGGTTATCTTATGTTAAATAAAGTCAATTCGGTCGGAGAATTGTGCCGGACGGCCGGCAAGGGCCGGCCGTGGTCGCGCTGCCGCACGCAGCGGCAGCAGCGCATCGGCCAGC